CCAGCAACAGTGTGTTACATGTAGCTGCATATAGGGCACACGTTGACTTAGTTAGATATGTGATAAAGAACCTTCCCGAAATGGTTCCCCTAACAGATGAGTCAGGATGGACTGCATTACATTATGCCGCGGCAGCAGGTAATCTTCAAGTGTTCTTTATTCTTCTTAAAGCTGGTTTGTCACCAAGACATGTTACACATGACGGCAGTACAGTTCTCCATAAGGCAGCCTTCTGTGGAAACCTTGAACTTGTTGAGTTCATTCTCGAAGTTGTACCTGCCATAACCAAAAAGAGTGATGCTTCAAACTGGACTGCAATTCATTCAGCTTCGGCTGGCGGTAGCGTCAATATATTTACCACACTGATTGGTGTAGGCTTGTCCCCTAGAGCAGTGACTAATGGTGGGAGCACAGTGCTTCACATAGCGGCATACAATGGCAGATTCAATTTGGTAGAGTTCCTCATTAATCATATCCAAGATGCTATACATCTCATTGACGAGTCTGGAAAGTCTGGATTGCATTATGCAGCCGCTGGTGGCAATGTTAAAGTGTTCAATGAATTGGTGCATGCTGGACTTTCTCCACAGGCTACAACTAAAGACGGCAGTACGGTACTTCATATTGCTGCTGCAAACAGAAGAACAGAACTTGTGCAATATATCATTGAAAACAATCCCATTCTGATTCCCTTGGAGGATCTATCTGGTTGGAAGGCCATGCATGCTGCAGCAGCGGTGGGTTGTATCGAAATTATCTCACTTCTAGTTCAGACAGGGATGTCTCCTGACGCCCCAACACAAATAGGACGGACAATCCTTCATGTAGCTGCATATAAGGGTCAGATATTGCTAGTTAGGCACATTGTCAAACATTACAAAGACATCATTCACGCAACAGACAACATCGGAAATACCGCAATGCATTCTGCAGCGGCTGGGGGAAACGTGGGCGTTTTTATAGAATTGCTTCATGCAGGGATTTCTCCTCAAGCCACCACCACCGACGGAAGCACTATATTACATATAGCAGCCAACAATGGGAAGACCGATATCACTCGCTACATCATACAATACATAAAGGACATTGTGCCACTGACAAATGATACAGGAAGGACAGCATTACATTGTGCAGCAGCTGGAAGAAATACTGTAGTCTTTGATGACCTTATTCGCGCAGGACTATCTCTCAAGGACAAGACAAAAGCTGGAAAGACTGTACTTCATGAAGCAGCTTTCTCAGGAAAGCCTGAATTCATTGGAAGGATTGCAAAGAAATTCCCTAGAATATTGCATATGACAGATGAATCTGGCAGAACTGCCCTACACTATGTTGCAGCAGGTGGAAATGTTGAAGCGTTTAATAATTTGGTCATGGCTGGTTTGTCAGCAGACGACACAGCAAAAGACGGAAGCAGTGTGCTTCATATTGCTTCATTCAATGGGAAATTGGAACTGGTGATACATATAGTGGACAACATTGCAGAAGTAATTCCCATGATTGACAATAGTGGGAAAACCGCACTTCACCATGCAGCTGCTGGTGGAAATGTGGAAGTTTTCATAGAACTTCTACAAGCTGGGTTATCTCCAAAAACTACCACAAATGATGGCAGTACTGTTCTTCACATTGCCTCTTATAATGGTAGACTGGATCTTGTCCAATATATCATTCGCGCCACTAGTGACGTATTGCCTCTAGAGGATGAGTCTGGTCGTACTGCACTGCACTATGCAGCAGCTGGTGGCAATGTTGATGTATTTGTTGAGCTAGTGGAAGCAGGTTTGTCACCCAGTTCTAAAACATCCAGTGGAAGCACTGTTCTTCATTTAGCAGCAGCTACAGCTCAGTTAAACTTGGTAGAACACATTCTTACAACAAACCAGAATTTTATCTATTCGACTGATAGTCAAGGCAGGACTGCACTTCATGTAGCAGCAGGTAAAAATGGTTCATCTGAAGTTTTTGACTCTCTTGTCAAAGAAGGATTATCTCCTATGTTGAAGGATAAACATGGCAATACACCACTGGATCTGGCAAATACTCTTATCCACCAACATGTGAAGAAAAACCATGCAGAGTTCCATGCTTCCTACCAAAGGATCAAGACTCCAAGACCAGAAGATTCACAAGATGAACAAGAGAATGCATCTCCAACAAAGGAGAAAATGAAAAATCAGAAATCTAAAGCATGTGTGATTCAGTGATAACACCTTTATGGAAACAACCTTTATCTGGAGAAAAGTTCATACTCAACCCATATGCTTTATACATCATTTATTGGATATTCCTATTCACTGAAACTTTCATCTTACCAAATTCCCAATGCCAGAAAATGTGGAAAAGACATCTAACTATAGAATAAGATTAAGGGAAAAAAAAGAAATTCCTTACTGCTAAAATTTAAACTGGTTTACAAATGTCGCTCTAAGTATTTAACCTCAGATTGTTTAATCTTTCTTTAAATTACACAGTGGTAATGAAAAGATTTTTGTTCAAAGTAGTTGATCGTATTTGAAAACAGAATCTGTTTAGATTATTTATTTTCAATATTAGATGATATATCCATATCTTTGATTACAGTACAGTTTTTAATAGCAGTCTAGAGAGTACAAATTTGTCCTTGTATGAATATAAACTACCGTATAGCAGTCTTGCTACTGTACAAACAAATATTTGGTGCCATTGTTGTTAAGCTTGAGGTGCAGACAGGAGCTCAAAAGCCTTCTACTTCATTTGTGTTTCTTATAATGTATAAACTAAAAGTCTGTTGTTCTGTATGTCTCAGTTTAATGAGGATAAAACATTAAACAAATAATTAATATTCATTTTTTCATATATGTATTTGAAAATGTAATTTCTATGTTACACTAAGCCTTATATATGACAACTCTATTATTTTAAATACTAGTCAAGTTACTGTATTTCACAGTACCAATATTTCGTAGCTGTCCTTATATGGACTAGTTCACAATGATAAAATTTCATGCATGTGTATACATTGTTATCCAAAAATACATTCCAAAGAATTTGATTCACCGTAAATTGTTTGTTTAATTTCACTCCATATTTTAAAGATTGAAATATCACAACTAAATATTGATGTTTCTTCTCTGATAAAATGACAACTGTGGATATAGAATGAATCACGTAGGGTGGTCTGGAGGTGCAGTGGTAATGTACTTGCCCTTCACCTAGCCATCCAGGGTTCAGTTCTCAGAATGGATACTAAAAAGTATAGGGTCACCTGTACGACCATATGGGTTTTCCCCAGGAAAGTCCTGTTTCCTACCACAATAAAACCCATGTGCGCTTACATACGGACCAATAAGAGTGATTAGTATAAGTTGCTATAACTTGTTCTGCAATTGTTGTAAAATAAATAAAGTTATATTTATATTCAAGATAAAAGGATTGTTTGTGTAAATATTTTGATCACCTTAAAAACACACACAGAGCTGTACAATATGTCAAGGAACACCTCCAAGTGTGAAAATAAAAACAATATTGTATACATATTTATATTCGAAACATTTATAAACAAATTAATATTCATTATCTTGCAATAAAAACCATTGTTGATTTTTTATAGAAATATTTATTGCTCTCAAAGTACATTGTTGGGCACTTACATTTCATAATTTGCCTGAATGCTACATGTTCTCAATACCTTATAACACGTCACAAACATTTAAAAATCTGTTTCACAAATATCTGACAACACAACATTCACTGTTAAATATTGAATTTGATATTATTGCTATAGCTGTTGTAAAGTTGTTAAGCTCAGACAGACATTTACATATAAATATTTCGATAAATTTTCATGATATTTTTCTGATTGGTTATCTCCCTTAGATACTCAGAAGACGTATATTCAGAATTTGATCTTTATTATTCAAGTGGAAAACTGGAAACTCTGATTTGAAATGAATCATTTTATAAAGCTAGTATTTTTAAGATTAAAAATTCACTTCAGATATGATAAAAGAATCAATGTTTTAAAGAATTCCAAATTTGCTTACCGTAAAACAATTTAATTTGGCGCAGTCTGGGTATCTTTTCACAGAGTGGGAAACAGCTGTATAAATTTTGAAATTGTGCAAGTGGGGAATTCCTAATCTATTTATAGCATAAACTCAGCACTCAGAACAGGTGAACAGTTACAGATATGGTTCACTGGTTTTTTCGGTATGAGTCAATGTAGATACTGAATATGTAATTACATCTAACATTGTTTTTCATTCCATCGCCAGTATAGAATTTTTATCAGTATAGAAAACATGACCCATTTATCCCATTTGGAAAGAGGAAACATGATGAAGTTCAGCCTGATCCTGATGAGGAATGTGATGATACATATTCTAAATTGTGTGAATATATAAATGAAACAACTTTACATTCTCCAAAAACTCCCAAAAGAGAAAAACGTGGAACATATAATGTATAATATCCGGATATGAGGGCAAAGATTGGAAAGTATACTGCCGAAAATGGTATCATGAATGCAGCCAGGCATTTCATTAAAGAAACTGGGTCACCTGTTAGAGACAGCTCTGTGCAGAAATTAAAAAGAATCAAAATGCAAGACGTCTACCAAAAAAATTCCAATTCCTTCCAAATTTTGTTGATCAGTTTCAAGCATCATGGAAATTTTAGCCGTCATATATATTTAGTGTTTCGATGGCTATATGCGAAAATTGCTAATATTAAATGAGCACTAAAATTTCTTGTTTCACAGTATAATTGCAATATTTCACCAGGAAACTGAACGAGAGTCCTGAAGAACATATATTCAAAATTCATCATTGTTGTACTAGGATTATATCATTTCAGCAGGAAAAGGTTGACTGTCTAGATATACATGTAATTGTGTATGTTTTGATGTATATATATATATATATATATAGTATACTCAAATATCTTGATTTTCTTTCTTACATTTTCCACACAAATTTCTGCTTTGTATTCTAATTACATGAATTGAAACAAAAAATAAAAAGAATTCTAAAACTTTACTTTATTTGTGTTTTGTCAATGATACAATATTAAACATTGTTGGAGTGATTGATTCCAATGGCAAAGTTACATGAGTGTAAAAGTCTACCATAACAATAACAACAATGGTTGCATTCTAAAATGTCTAAATGTTTAAGTAAACTTTACTTAATCACTCCAAAAATGTCACGATCTGCACATATTACAGCTATTCCTTAATTAAGTCCTCCAGATATCCTCATTTGACATATAAAAACTGCTTCTGAATTAAGTCTTATAGATATCCCCATTTAGACATAATATCTGTGCCTTATTACGCCTCCTAGATATCCTCATCTAGACATATATTATCTGTTCCTTTATTAAGCCTTGATATCCTCCTTGAGATATATAATAATAGTTCCTTAACTAAGTCCTCTAGATATCGTCAAGATGAATAAAAACTGTAATTAATATCACATTTGTTCGCTTTGGGCCCTTCTAAAGAGCCTCAAAGATATTCTTGTCTATACATATAACTATTAACTAATGTCTATTTTCCCCTTATGTACCCGAACATTAGCCCCAAGTTGGTCACATGAGAAAAATTTCATTTCTAATGAATTCAAATCTTCTGTACACAAATACTGCAATGAAAACCACTCAAATCTATTGTAACTTCAGAAAGGAAGTTCTTCGCCTTCTGTAGGCAGCAATAAATTAAACTCTAAAAAAAAGTTAATTTGTACAAATTACCAGCTCAGAACTTGACCTGTACATTATCATTATTCAATTATACTTGAACAAATACAAAATGAAAGTTCCATATCTGTATCTGTTATAGAGTACATGAACTGACATCAAATCACCAGGTATGAAGCAATAATCATAAGGTGAAGTTTAATGCCATATGTCCCCGACCATGAAGTGGAGGAGTCGTTAAAAGAATGAGAAATTTTAACGCATGCACCTGATATGTAAACACAAGTGTCAGTCTTTCATTTGAAAAGAAATTCTACAAAATATTCAAACTTTATAAAACCTGGAAAGAAAATTTATTCAAATATTTATCAAACTATTTCACACTATATATATCACGCTTTTGCACAAGCATTGATTCACTGTCTTTACTGAAATGCTTTTCAAAACATGACTGCATTTTATTCCCGACGCCCATAGCTACAGATAAATTGGCAAGCAGGACCATAGATAAGGGAGTAAATTTGGGTGCTGAGCTTTGAAGAAAAGGCAATAGCCTTGGACCTCCTGTTCGAAACTGTGGAATAGGGTAGGTATACTGTGTTCCAGCCTCCATTGACGATAACAGCCAAGACATCATCAATGGGTATCCAACTCCAAGTGCTGCTTGACAAAGTGCAAGTTTTGTTTCAAAACAAATCGTACAATCAACTCCTCCTGAAATCACAGAGGGCACGACTCCAAATTTGTAAACCCCGAATAATGTGCCACTCGGGATTAATAAACTCGTTAAAAACAATCCTATGCCTAACCTTCCACTTTGTTTTAGATTAAATACTTGTTGGAAGTGATAACTGAAATAAAAACCACTTGATGAAGCAGCTGCTGCTATCAGAGCTGGGCCATAGATTAATGGTCGTCTGAAAAATAAAAAAAAAAAAAGGTTTTAAGAATACTGAGTATTATAAAATAATTCAAATACAGAACATTAATATACCGAAAAATACCAAGTAAAACAGATACATGAACACAGACCTACTGTAATCTCATATATAGGACAGATACAGGAGACATAGACCTACTGTTATCTGATATATAGAACAGATACATAGACCTACTGTAATCTGATATATAGAACAGATAAAGGGGACACTGACCTACTGTAATCTGATATATAGAACAGATACAGGGACATAGACCTACTGTAATCTGATATATAGAACAGATACAGGGGACATAGACCTACTGTAATCTGATATATAGAACAGATACAGGGACATAGACCTACTGTAATCTGATATATAGAACAGATAAAGGGGACACATACCTACTGTAATCTGATATATAGAACAGATACAGGGACATAGACCTACTGTAATCTGATATATAGAACAGATACAGGGACATAGAATCTGATATATAGAACTGTAATCTGATATATAGAACAGATAATGGGGACACAGACCTACTGTAATCTGATATATAGAACAGATACAGGGACATAGACCTACTGTAATCTGATATATAGAACAGATAATGGGGACACTGACCTACTGTAATCTGATATATAGAACAGATACATAGACCTACTGTAATCTGATATATAGAACAGATACAGGGGACACAGACCTACTGTAATCTGATATATAGAACAGATAATGGGGACACTGACCTACTGTAATCTGATATATAGAACAGATACAGGGACATAGACCTACTGTAATCTGATATATAGAACAGATAAAGGGGACACAGACCTACTGTAATCTGATATATAGAACAGATACAGGGACATAGACCTACTGTAATCTGATATATAGAACAGATACAGGGGACACAGACCTACTGTAATCTGATATATAGAACAGATACATGAACACAGACCTACTGTAATCTGATATATAGAACAGATACAGGGAACACAGACCTACTGTAATCTGATATATAGAACAGATACAGGGAACACAGACCTACTGTAATCTGATATATAGAACAGATACAGGGGACATAGACCTACTGTAATCTGATATATAGAACAGATACAGGGACATAGACCTACTGTAATCTGATATATAGAACAGATACAGGGGACATAGACCTACTGTAATCTGATATATAGAACAGATACAGGGGACATAGACCTACTGTAATCTGATATATAGAACAGATAATGGGGACACAGACCTACTGTAATCTGATATATAGAACAGATACAGGGGAGATAGACCTACTGTAATCTGATATATAGAACAAATATAACATCAGAATCTTTATCTTGGCAATATAAATCATATGGAACCCTTTTTGTTTTGTCTCTGATTTCTTTCTGTTTTTATTATTAACTTTAACAAAATTTACAAAGAATATGGAGCATAAACATCTGGATTCCGAGGTTTTATTGTATTGTTTTTGCTAGTTAGGCTAGACATCATCAGAACAACGGTATAATTGAACCAAGCCAATCTCCATATCATAGTTTGACTCGGACCTGTACCTCAGTGACTCGGACTCGGACTCCGATTCAGACTCGAACTCTGAATCAGATCTTAATCAACAAAATGTACATGAACTCTACAACTTCATCTGTGAAACTGACCCATTGAATATTACTTTCTGCAAAGATGAATTACCAGAGCCATTATGGGATAGGAACGTAAGTATACACAGTGTGAATAGGATATTCAAATAATCAACATTTAAACAATTTCACAACTTGAACACTTTAATCATTTTCTATATAGAGTAATTTTTTAATAATAATATTTATATCACTTTTTCAGTGTAACTTTACTAAAAGAAATCGCTATTGTGTTGTAAGAATCACATGACAGAGATAATTGAAATTATGTCACGGTAGAGCTGAAATTTTCACCTTAGCTTTAAAAACATCTATACCATTGTTCTGATGATGGCTAGCCTACCTAGCTGAAGCATGTAAACCAATAACAAGAGTTCCTCGGAACTGTATGTGTTGCCTGCCTAGAGTGTCACGGTCACCCAGAAATTGAACTGGATGTGCAACGATCAACCATAAAGTTGTAATACCAAATTTCATTTCTATAACTTGAAGCATAAAGGGAAAACTGCGCAAAGCAATATTCCTGAGAAATTTTCCAAGTTCAAAGGGGCATAACTCAGCCAAGAAGGGTCATAGACAGCATATAGCAAATGTCATTTCTATAACTCAAAGCATAACCAAAGAAAGTCAAGAAAACAATATTCCCAGAGAATTTTCTAAGTTCAAAGTGGCATAACTCAGCCAAGAAGGGTCACAGACAGCCAGGAATCAAACTTAATCTGTACCCCTGCAAGAAAAAGCCATATACCAAATTTCATTTTGATAACTCAAAGCATTACAAAAAAAAGTCCGAAAAACTTTCGTACAGACGACGCTTGACAACGGACAAAGTGATCCCTATTTGTCCGCCAGCTCTGCAGGCGACACAATAAAACCACAGAATCCAGATGTTGATACTCCATCTTCTATGTCATCTGTATGTACCTTACTTGATCAGGCTCTATTGAATACCGTTGGGTATCTACCTTTAATTCCTGCAAGATCCGATCTATGACCGAAGACAGTCAGGACATTGGTTTTCTCCTACTCTGTTAGGAGTTTTATATTTGTATTCAAAATTGTTGATACTTACACTGTGGAAGGTTTCTCTTTCGAGAGTTGCTGAAGCCTTTTGTTCTGGATGTTTATAAGTTGCTTATAGTCCAAGAAGATAGCTCCTTCAGGAACAACATCTCCCCTTTTGTACCTCTTCACATATCCCTCCTCTAGACCCATTGTTGTATTTCTGAATCGCCAACCAGTAAAATATCTGGAAACAAATAAGTTCACAATACTTGGTTAACTTTGGGATTGTACTCAATTTAAAAAAAACCATAGTAATATTACATATCTAATTTTCTGCTAATAGTTTTAATATATGATGTACAGTAATGTGAAAATAGTACCCACACTGAATTACAAAGTCAACATCTTGTACCTTTATTTCAAACTCTGAGGAGAAGTAAGAATCATTCAATTCAATGATTCAATTAAAAGAAGTATATCAAATGGAATTTTTTTCATCTTAACTTCATGTAGAATTTCTATAGGATGCTCAGATGTCATCAAATGGCTTTTTAAGATTTAATACCAAGTTACCAAATGGGTTCACAGCCCCAACATTTCAGTATTATGCATTTCTATTCAAAGAATTTTTTGTATTCATAATGATTATCTTTAGAATCTGTGCTTATTCTATTATTTGGCTTGCATAGCTATGTTAGTCATTTTGTTTTTCTGATCAGTCCCACAAGGAAACAGGCACAATAAGGGACCATGAGGAACCTACATACAAAATGTGAGAAAGATTCATCTAGTTCTTCTCAAGAAATAGTGATAACAAACTTTTGTGGTCAAAATCCAAGATGGCCACCTGTCAGCCATTTTGTTTTTCTGATAAGTCCTAAAATTAAAGGGCACAAGTAGGGAGAAAAGGGAAACCGACCCATGAAATTTGAAAAAGATCCATCAATTACTTCTGAAGAAATAACAGTAATATTTCATGGACAGACAGACATCTGGACATAATGAATAGCTAAGCATCACTTCTGATGATGGTGGGATAACAAGGGACCAAGGGGAATTGACATATGAAATCTTAGAATGACCTATCCAGTTCTGAAGAAGTAGTCAAAACAAGAGCAGTTTAAAAAGAAGATTTTATCAGGCATATTAATTTTTGCTAACTTGAAGGCCCATTTTCCCAAGCATATTGCTATACAAATACCATTATCCAGGACCTATTTGCCACTGAAAGAAAGTTTCAGCAACCTAATTACCTTGATTTTCTAATTAAATCAAACATGGCGCCAGCTTGCATCTGGATATGACTGGACAAAATTTATATCTATTGTATTCATAAAATTTGAAAAGGAGGTTGATTGCATTACATGCAGGACTGTCAAGATGTATATTATGGAAATAAAATACAGCTATAGAGAAATGGTCTGAAAATGGGAAAATTCATTTCGTTGACTTATCTGATTGTACTCCAACAAATTTAGGAGTTTACAAATGAAACTTATGCCATGCATTGTGTAACCTCTAACTATCCAAGAGTGACTTACCTGATGCTGACTGTCATATTTTCAAAACTGAATTTCGATAACACATGAACATTTGAATAATCATCACGTTCAAGTAATTACTTTTAACTTCAAATTCATGATGAAATTAAAATTATTGCAAAAAAAAAAAAAAATTATTCTTTCTTCTTAAAATGTCATGCTGATAGAACATCAACATTCTGCACTATTCTAATAATTGAAAATGTTCAATTTGTGATGTAGACCAATTTATGGTTTGTATGAACTGAAACTGCCTTAATTGGAAGCTAAATGTCAACACAGCCATGCATGGGCTGTGTCTGGGAGTTTCTTTTAAGACAAATAATTTATTAGAATCATAGTGATTTGAAGATTTACATGGCATAAGTAATACCTAAACTGTAAGTACACAAAGTTTTCATGAAGTTTTAAGTTGTAACTAGAGGTAAAACTGAATCTTTCTTTCTACCCTGATACCAGGACAAAACAAGCATCAAAGAATTAATTAGTGCTTTGGAAATAAGAGATTGCAGTCGGCTTGATAATGTCCTATAATAAATCGACGATCAGCAGCCTTGGTATTATTGGAGTAACCTGACTCAAGGTCAACCTTTTTTTTTTTTTTTATCTGTATGAGAGAAATGTGATTGCATCTCACCTGTTTGTTAACATTTGCTCTAAATATATGTATAGTTATATCTAATTATAGTGCCTATACAGCCTGATTTGCTGGTACTCCAGTACCTCTTTATGTTCATTGACAATTTTGGCGTTATAAAGTCTGTGCAAAAGACACATAAGAGAATAGCACCTTTCGATAATTTAGAATTAGATACAGAAGAGCCAAACAATGAATTAAAACAGCATCACACAGCTGTCCTTCTTGGACTTGTCAGTGATGCCAATGACTTAAATTTTGAAGCCTAGGAGGCAACTGAGGAAAATCAAAAGTGATCAGAAGAAAAGTCAATATCTAGACGGGGAGGTGCAGCAGCCTGAGAATTAAATAAATTTTGTAATTTTCATAAATCAGATAGTTATAGAACAGTGTCAAGTACATATTCTGAACTAGTCCAAACAGTTCTGACTACCTATCTGCCATTTTATTTTTGTCTTGGTTGTTGTCGGACAATATAAAACAAAAGCATTTCTTTTAAAAAGCGTGTTGCCATCAAAACCAGGATTACCCAGAGAGCCTTCATGCTCATTTCCATGGAATGTAAATTAGTATGGAAAAATGTTATTCACTTTGTGATTTTTTTACAACCTCACAGACACCTCCTGATAACCAATTAATACAAAAGTTCACATGTCCCTGTGCACATGGTGTAAGCACATATATATTTGTTACACATGCAAATAGCAATCAATCACCACCTACTGTCTCTTGTTACTATCTAGAATTTACCCCCTTTTTCGTGTTATTTGCTTCCTTTTTTATATATCATAATTCATAATTTTGATTTACTTATTTAGCCTAACTTTTGTTTTACATGTGTGAAAGAACAGGGAAAATACACCTTTCTGTCCAGTGCCCCAACCAGAAATCGAATACCGGTCATTGGTGTGATAATCACCCAGCTCTACCAACTGACCTAAAGAGGCATACTCTGTCAGTGGAGTTACGGAGACCATATTTAACACTATATACAAGCCACACCAACCTGCTCCTATTACACATGATTTATGAATCGATAATTGGCAGCATGGTTTATCACCCTTTATTTCTGATAATTATTATAGCATAATGTCTTATTACTTATTCAATCTTGTTGTCTTTTCATTTACACTAAATTGGTATATATTATGTATCTTTTTTTAGTTCTCTGCTATATTACCATATATGTGTATTACAATTAATTTTCTGTATATGAACACTTGGTAACTTATGTGATATGCAGGTGCTCACTATTACATAAGTAGCGTTGTTATCTTATAGTATGTTTCACTCTCTGCGTTTATGTTTTAATACGCGTTAGATGCTTCTAGTAATTTGGATGTTGTAATCTGAAAGTTTTCTTTGCTTTTTGCATTTTGTTGCTTATAATTATTTTTGTCGCAAAAATATAGCCACAGCGCTAATGACACATGAGGTGTGAAATAAAGTTTCTTGCAACTTGTATCGTACATCACCTTCTGTTACAGGAGGGACAACGTCGTTATCATGTAATTGTGAAAGTAGCCCTGCGAAACCGGCAACCATGTGTACCCTAGTGAATGTCATTGATACCGGAAGAGGAAATGCCTTTCGGAAATTTTTTACTTTACCACACCTTTGAATGTAAAATCTAGCTGTAGTTAAACTGGGTCATAGCATCCTCGAAATTGCATTAGCATTTCGCATGTACGGTTGCAATATGTTGAATCTAATTTTATTTGATAAATACATACGCTAATTTTCTGTGTAGTCAGTATTATGTCGTAAGCGTTCAGATATATACATGATGGATGAGAATCGGGCACTTGTTTACCCACGGGATCCCTGTGGAAGTGGGGAGAATTCATTTCAATATCATTTTAAATAATCATAATTTTTCTGGATAATTTGATATCTAGAATATTTGAACTCGTCATGTTTAATTTAAAATCAATATATTTGCCTTATTTTACATACTTTGTTATCAGAGAAAGTATAGAACTTTAAGATAAAACTTCGGCGAACATAACGCAAACGATTTCCCTGGGTGTCACGTGATCATAATAGGTTTTACGTAGCCGCCATCTTTGTAGTTCCTGTTTGGAGAGGGACTTTCCTGAACCACTTCAGCCGCTGGATACACGATCAACTTGACAGTTTGCATCATCAAACGAGCTTGAGGTCGCTGGGTAGCAACCATTAGGAGTTGTTGCTTGGCTTCTTTTCCTCTGATTTCGTAGCTAACGCCTCGTTTCTGGTTTTTGGGTGTGAGCTGGTTTCACTACAAAACCTGCAGTCATGCCGGTTAGAAAACAAGGTAAAAACCTTCACAACACACTTGACATATCACAGATTATGCATTGATGCTAACTGGTTGTGGGTTTATATTCCAAATAGCAATTTATGATATATAAAATAATATTTTTAGAAACATATTATATTAGTCCCATGTACATTTGTATCCAAATCGTGTAACACGACTGAAAAAATTTGAAAATCCCTCCACTTCTCTTCTAGGAATGAGCAATTATTTCGTTACTCCATGGGTCATGTTAGATTAAAAAAAGAAAGAAATTGATTTTAAATGAGTTCTTTCCATCGTGTAAATAAGGCATTTGGTATTTTATTTGCCTATTGCAAGAGCAAAGGTATTGGACGTGGAAGGGAAGTAATCGATATATCTTGAGACGTTTAATATTAAGTACTTACCAGTACAGTGTTCAAATATTGAATTATGTTATTTGTCTTGCGTGTAAGCACAACATAAAATTCCATAGACAAAAATTAGTTCATGAGGAATTCATAATGTTTACATGTTCTCCATAGACCATTAGAATGTAACTTTTCCGGATTGACAAGACCAGAAAAGCTACATATCAGACCAAGTGATACACTGCCATCTGACAGTTTGTTATCTTACACAAATGATGTTTGCTCCTTTGAGAAAAATGCTGATGTATGTTATTTGTCAGTAAGGCCACAAATTTTTTAACTTAATTTTGAAAATGTATCGTAAAATGTTACATGTATTTGAAATGAACCTCTCAAACTGACAACTGACTCTTCTTTTTTAATGTATTGAAGTTGGCATAAAAACGATTGCATCTTTGTGCTTTATATATAGATATATATAGTTTATATATGTGGTTTGTGATTAACACAATTTTAACAACAGTGTATTGCTCAGAAGACTTGAAAATGTGTTTAAATGTTTTACTAATATTTAAGGTTACCGACTGATTTTTCCCCATTCACTGTCTGCCCAAGAATGTAAGCTAAGGTAATATCATTTTCATCTGACATGCCTCAATATCTCAAGATTGTTAACAGATTGTGGACATCTTTGGAAATGAAAGGAAAAGAAAACAAAAGTGAGAGCTTTTTCTCATCAGCCCATTATGTTTTGCATCATGATATAGTTGTTGTTCAATGTAGTGATTTTTGGGACTCAGATGATGAATGTCATTTCTTTTGGACAAAAACAAATTTAGAGATCCTGCTGTGTCTCTTAGTCTAAGTTATTCTGACATTCGATGGACTATTTACATCAGCTTGGAGGAAATGGACATCAAAACTATAAAACCATATGAAATGTCCTTTTCACATGCTTTGCATATTGCACATGGATTAAAAAGTCTGTTCTATTTTTGGGGAAACATATGTTGCAAAGTGGAATTATTGTCTGGATGAATGTTTTTCTGTTTTTGAATTTGATTCATGTTTAAGAGTGAAAGTGAAATTTGCATGCATCAAATGTTTCTCAATAAACTAACTTTAACCACCACAGGTCAATAGTTCTGATGAATTTCTCATGAATTGCCATTGGTATCAGTTTACACCATAAATTCTTTGTTAGGACTTTTTTTTCAAAAAAGGCTGATTTTGAAATTAAGGGAAATTTTGATATGTTTTGTCCTGCTTAATCAGTATCTATAAAGTCACTAACTGTGATCAGGACCTGTGCCAACCTCTAACTCACCTGTGTGATTTTGTCTTAACAGACATTTATATCATTGGGTGATATTTTGATCTATTACCTTTAGGTAGCCCTTCCCACTTTATACCGTGTGATTTTATATATCTAGAGTATACAACTGATATATAAAATTATTGGTCAGAAATTCTGATTTGTCGCTTTTGTTGGCTGCACCCCAAACTCAGCTGTGTGATTTTATCAAGAATATACAAGTATGTGGTAAAATTCTGATCTGTTACCTGTGTTGGCCCCTCCCCTACCTCACATGTTCAATATTATTGGTCAATATTACCTTTAATTGACCCTGCCCCCTTTTTACCTGTGACATTTTGTATATCTAGAATACACAACAGATATATAAAATAATTGGTCAGAAATTCTGATCTGTAACTTACGTTAGCCCCTCCCCTACCTCACCTGTGTGATAAATCAAAAGTATAAAATTGATGTGTAAAATTATTGGTCAAGAATTTGATCTTTCACCTTTTAGTTGGCTCATCTCCTACCTCACCTGTGTCAAATTGTCTACCAACAAATGCAGAGCATTTTCAGGGCTCTCGATCTGCCAGATTTGGGGCCAATATCGGCCCCATTCCCAATGCAAAATAGTATCTTTTTTTCCCAAATTTAGACCCCAAGTTTTCCCAATTTTAAGGAAAACACAGCTATTTTCCCAATTCTAAGGGCCCCGGCCCCTAGTCCCAAAATGGAGTGTGAGAGCCCTGATTATGTACACTGGCTTGTCAGTATCTTTGATAGGTTTGTTTTCCTTCTTCCCATTTTTTTTAAGAACAAAGGAATTATATATATACTAGAAAACAATAGAGATGTAATTATGTCTGTTCTGATGTAGTACCAATATACAGGTATGTTATTTATCTGTACTGTCCATAAATATAAAATAGTACATGCTATGTAAATTATAGTATATTTTAATTACTAGGGCTGTCACAGGTACAACGTTTTGGGCCCTGGTACCCGACCTTCAGTACCTGACCTGTATCTGGGTTCCTGACTGTTATCTGACATTATGATAAAACATAGTGTTACCTGCTTGAAAAGGGCTCGTAACTGCGGGGAAGAAATAAAAATCAACCAAAATTTTAAAAAATGAACACAATGCTTTACTGACAATATGATTGTTTTCCTTCCTTTATACCTATCAACTGTTTTGTAATGTAAACCATCTTGAGACCGATTGCTCAATGATTTTAACACAAATGGCATTGGGTCAAAAATTGACAAAATGTGTCCGTCTAGCTTACTGCAAATATGGTAGGATGGTACAGGAAGTAAAGTGGGATTGAGACATTACTATATTTAAGTTATCGTGCTCGGCAATACATTGTAGGAATAACACTAGTTTCAAAAGTTTCAGTCTGGAATCAAAACACACTGAAATAACGTTGTTTAATAACGAGAAATTCGGGAATCCTCGCATGTTATCCATGGTCATAGGGTAAAGTCCAGTACACAACTCTGCTATGTATACACATGTGTTTGACGGTTCCTAAAATGAAATACAGTTGAGAAATGCAACAAACAGATTAAGTGTCATCTCAATGAATAAAAACAGAACAAATGAATGAAATATTGTATTACTTTAATTATCAGAACTGTATACACAGACGGAAGACAGAATTTTTCCTATTCTGACGGGGTACCTGAGTACACATTTTGGTTATTTCTTAAACCCGACCCGTATACAGGTACTCCAGTACTTTTACAGCCCTATTAATAATCATTTTTCTTTATTAGGGTAATTTGATATTGAATTGTTTACCGGATTCCAGCGACTGTTTATCAAGCATACATCAAAATCAGTGAACAGAAATCTTAATAAATTTAATTATTTCATTAGATATTAAATCAATAAACAAAATGTAAAATTTTTAAGTTATGAAGCAATATGATGACACATGAGAAGGAATATGTAATACATAGTTTCAATATATGTCATACGACATATATGACAGCTCAAAGCTGTATATGAACATATTGTAAAACACAAGTACTGGTATAAATTAAGGGAATATGTAGCACAGGTTTGTATGATTAGCATATTATTGAAGTAAATATATATTTGATACAAATTTACATATTTTATACATATATTAAATGAATAGCTCGGATATTAACTTTGTATTTATATCCTGAGAGGCAATCTGAGCATGATCATGTAGGTGGCTGTAGGAGTGACGAGCATTTCCGCTATACACGATATTCTGTCTATCAAACTTGTTGCAAAGACACGTCACTTGAATTTGTAAATTTGTCACGATAGTGATGGATGGGTAACATGTGATAGATGTTACCATCTTACCATTTCTGATACATAAAAAAAAAACATGCAACTTGGGTATTCTCACAATTATAATCACTGCAGATAATAAGATATGGTGTTGTTAAATTCAAACATAACTAATCATGTTTTAGGAGTTTGACAAGAGATTTTCGAGTGAATTTAACTTGCTTATAATGAAAATATTTTTGATATTTTTTTCTCCCAATGTAATAATTCCAACCATCACTGTCACATTCTACAATATTATGTTCATCTTTGTGAATGTTGCTATTTTCTATAGATCTAGCAAATGTGAAAAATAAAGTGATGCCTTATCACACACTTGGCTGAAATATTACAATCTGCAGTATGTTTACAAGTAAGTTCATTTTTCAGGTGCAAACCTCATATTTTAGAGTTAAGAATTGTGAAGAGATCCATGAAGGAGTTATTCTTTAGAATTGATACTTTCTAAAAATAGTTAAAAGGAAGTCCTGAAAAAGTGCAAGAACTTTAAACCATGCATATAAAGTCATATTTTTTTCCTTAAATCGTCTCCAAACATCTGTTATCTTCCAAGTGTTGAGTGTTGGGGTTGCAGCGTGCAGTCTGATTTATTTAAAGATATAAATTTCTGGTGTTTTGTTCTTGTCAGAATCCGATGATCAATCTACTTGCAAGTCCAGATTCCTGTACTCAGAAAATTTTTTGGAAAAGAATTACATTGTGGGAACCATTGTTTTTGGCTACAAAGTTGAAAAGAAATTATGAATATGAATCGTAGAATATCACTGATGATTCTTTACTTTATTTTTACAGTTGAAGTCATCTTTTACCAACATATGTGTCTAGCGATGCTTTGAAAGCAGTGTCAGTTTTGATAGGTTATTTGGATGTTCTATACACAAACTATACACCAAAATTTCAACAGGTTATGGTTGTGGGAGACCCTATTTTGTATAGGTTTGAGTATACTAACTACTGTAAGATATTTCATTAATGTAACAATTTGTGAGGTTTATCTCAATCTGAATCTAAAATATCACCAGGCATGGGAAGATTTCAGCAGCTAGGATTCAGGTTGATATCAATATCCTGTCTAATATGTTTACTGAACAGTACTTGAGATTTATAGATTATCAGCTATGATAGTGACATATTCATGATACGACAGGCAGTAAAATATGTATGACAGGCAATTTAAAAAAGGGAAATGAATGAGGGTTTTGTCTCTAGTGATAAATATTTCGAAATCTGTCCATCTTCATATCAAAATATTAGGTAAAGGTCGGCTTTGATCTGCGGAAGTATGGATATGGCTGAAATACACATCAAACAGCTATATCCAGGCATCCGTAACTAATTCCTTCATAATATCCTGTTAGGACAGACATAAACATTTGTTGGTTTGAGTTTTAAGTCTTGCTGTGTTGCAGGAGTTTACACCCATAATGTTTTCTCATTTGTTTATTAGCAAACATATTACCTATTTGTATGAAGTGTGATCTTCTTGATTGCTATGGTCTTTTTGTGAGGGAAAACATGAAATTTCAGTGCATTTTTGACAGTGATCAAGATTTCCTATAATTTATTTATGTACCTAACATCTATAAACATTGGAAGTTGGCATTTATATATTGAACTGGTTTTTGGCCAATGTCAGTTTTTAAGGGAATACTTTGTGTCTTTTGGAAAGTATGTTACATTCCCCATTGGTAGGTAGATACAGGTCACAGATTGTGTACAACACCAATCAGGAAAAGATAAAAGAATTGAAGAAAATTAATTTTTCTTATGGAGTAAAGTTGATGGATACTTTAGAATTGGCAAGAACTCCTTTAGAATATTCAAATTATCAAATTGCTCTGAAAGTGGATGTTTATTTCGTTGCACCATGAAAAATTTGAAGTATTTATACAAGTGTTATGGGTACTAAACCACTTTTACAAACAATTAATTTACTTGGCCTAAAAACATAATATTTATCAAGGATATTCGTATGACTGCCTGCATCCATTTGTCTATGATAAATGTGGTATAAAGTCTAGATGATCCTATGAAAAATACATGATACAGTGTGTAAGTAAAGTGATCCTGATGCTCCTATGAGAAATATGTATATGATGCCAGGTATGTTAAGGCTGACCTAGTTACCTGTGTGTGGTATGTGGTTACTCATCCATGACCAAGGTATGTGTACATCCGTCCATCAATTACCTGCTTACTCATGATAAGTGTAAACAGCAACCCATTCATAATCAGCTTAGGTAGTCATATACACAGAAACTGAGTAGGTTTGGGATGTAGGTGTTGTAACTGTAAACAATATAGACTTGGTAAACAAAAAAACAGCTGCAAGAGAAAAATGTGCAAAATGATATGGAAAGAATAAAATTAGCTTGCATTTATTTGGGGAATGGTTGGATACATTTCACCCTGATATGAAAAATTATTATTCTTTTATTGTATATAATAGGTTCTTCTGTTGTTCTGTGTATTATATATAGTCTTATCTCTATCTAACAGAAATATTGCAATGTACTGTTTTGAAGTTAAAAATAACTTCATATTTCATCAAATTTTAAATATCTTTGTCAGTTAAAATTTGTTGAATTTTGAGAAATTATTTGATCATGATTAGGACATGGATGTCAAGATCTTCATTTTTTTCACTAAAGTGATAGTTTTCAAATTATAAGTCATTGATTTTTCCTTTGGTTTTGTGTAAAGGTGTGTATCTCTGACCCTTTAATCCCATGTACATGAAAAGATTTATCGCTTTATGATGGCAAATCGGTTTATGATGGCAACTGTTTACAAACCAAACAGTAGATAGGGAGATACACTGCAGTGATAAATCTACAAGGGAGTCCTGAGTTCCATGTCCTGAATCCCAAGTCCAGGAGCCCTGTACTCAAAGAATTTTGATGGCAAATGTTTACAAATCTAAGAGTAGATGGGGACATTCACAGCAGTGATAAATCTACAAGGGAGTCCTGAGTCCCAAGTCCTGAATCTTGAGTCCTAGAATCCTGTAGTCATAGAATTTTGATGGGATTCAAAAGAATTTCTGGAAATACTCCAACAATTTTACATTGTGGGACCCATTGTTTTTAGCAGTAAAGTCTCATAAAAATGAATTGTACATTGATCATTGACACTGTACCTTTTCCAAATAATTACATACATGTGTATGATATTAATTATACTACATGTAATTAAGTTAAATAACAAAAGTAGGGCTGGTACAACAATAAATTGACAAAACATGACATTTCACACCTTTCCACTGTATTAGCTTGTGATGTGCATATGGTAACAGTTATCTGAGGTCATGGAAGGTTATCAAATGATGACATCATAATAGTAAATAAAAGGGGACATAACTGTTTTAAAAATGTAGAAAGTATTATCTATAAATGGGTTCTCAAATCAGGCTATAGAAAGAGTTGTATTACCTTTTATTTGGTCTCTCTTTGAACCTAGTTGGCACCAGCTGATTTGAACGTAGATGAAATGATTTTTCATACAAAGTTTGTTCTCTGTTAAAAAAATATGTTAAAGGAAGTGTTCATTGTCTTCAACATAGAAATTTTATGTATTGGTATAAAAAGTCAATTTAGGACTCCTGCCCATGTTCAGATTACTGTTAATGATCAAATTCCATCTTGTGGATGAAAACAAATTACAAACATTTTATTACTTGTGATGCCCTGCACTGTCCACTGTCAATTATTTAGGAAAACCTTTCAGATTTAAAGTTAAATATATCTTATATATCTTTCCAGTTATTGTACTTTATTAGTGTCTGTGAAAGACACATTTACTCATAGCCCCTTAATGTGTAAAAAAAATGCCTTGTTCACTTAAGTTAGTGATGGAAATAGTATTACCGGGTAAGCTATTTGTTTGGCAATGTGATTTGAATTGCAAGTTGGAAATACAACTAGGGTTGAACATTATTAACTGGAATTTGACAGAACAATTGAAAAGTTTCAAATTATTCAAGGATTCATCTTAGCACATGTGGTTGTCATTCTTGGATCAAAATCTAGTATATTTTCATGTTATAATAAGCAATACTGACATGGAGTTTTTTAAAGATATCATTCAGTTTAAAGAAATTCATTAAAAAATCTCTTTAAGTGTTTATAAATACAAGTAAAGTTCCATAAAATAAGAATGTTGCATCTACAAAGCCTTTCACTGATGTTGTCGTTACCGAAACAGATTGCAGTTACGAAAGAGGAGTGATAGTGCAAGTGCTTATTGACAAATTTGTTTAGCGTGTTTGTAGATATAGTTAATGAAAATGAACGTTTGTCAAAAATGCACTTAAACCAATTGACTGTCAAACCTAAACTGTTTGATTAAATTTGCTGTCATTGTTGTCATAATGTGAATTTGTCAAATACAAGAAGTACCATTTATTTTACGAACAAATTGTTTAAAGACAATGTCGTTGAGTATTTTCTGTGACATTTTAAAGATGGATAAATTTGAGAAATAAAAATACTGTTCTATCGTTACAGATGCCCATCGAGCCCTGGAGCTCCTGGAAGACTACCACACTCGACTTACTAAGCCCCAGGATAAGCAGCTTAAGATGGCCATCGAACGTGTCATCCGTATCTTCAAAAGTCGACTCTTCCAGGCCCTTTTAGGTAGGTGACAGTGACTGTATAGGGTTTTAGATATGTTTTGTATCCTGTGATAAGCCTGCAAGATTTCCATGCAAAGGAGATGGGCTTATTATAGGAAAGTGAAATTGTATTTCTTAGTATTTTTAACTCACCTGCCTGAAGGTTTTTAAGTGATGAATGCCATTGTGTTTAGTTCACTCGGGATCAACAGTTTCCTTCAAACAATTTTTTCTTCAGGAAGAAAGACCAAAGGTGTTTATATTTGGCCTATATATAGCATGGTAGGAAAAAGGCTACCAAATTTGTTAAAATGACAGAACTTTACCTGCTTTCACAGTCACAGGGGTCAGATGTGTGAAATTTTAAACATGATATCTTATAATTGTATGAAATCATATTATGGTGTAGGGCTCTTGATCTGCCAGATTTGGGGCCAATATTCCCAATGAAAAATTTTTTTCCCCCAATTTAGACCCCAAGTTTTCCCAATTCTAAGGAAAACGCCACTATATTTTCCAATTCTAAGGGCCCCGGGCCCCAGTTCCAAAGTGGGGTGTCAGAGCCCTGTGGTGGACTCCTAAGCAATCAGTTGTGGTCGGAATAAAATGACTTAAATGTATGATGTTGGATAAGAGCCTGTTGCAACATTGTTTATACAAAATGATCCAAATTAGGAATAATATCATCATGGTCCTTTTGTATGTTTCTGTATTTAAACAGCCATGGTACAGGTGTATGTGAAACCATGAGACGAAAAGGTTACCAAGTTTGACAAATTACATCCTGAAAAGGATTCACAAACAGTAACATTTATCGCACAGAATTTATATAACACACGGGTGTGTAGCAATGTTTCTAGGGATTCAGATTTTTTGCCTATCATAGGTCGGTTCTTGTTACATCATTTCCCGATCATATCAATTGGAAAACTTTATTTGTGGTTTTGATAACAACCCTGATATGCATAGGAAAGACTTATTTTCAGAATGTTTCATCATCATGTGGTCACTCACACATAACAATCGTGGCAAGGATTTAAAACCGATTTTAATATTTGAATTGTGCTAGCCAATTAAAAAACATAAAGCACTGAACTTACATGTTCCTAGCGGCACTCCACAGGTAAGTGGGTTTACCTATTGTTCAGAAGTCGGTGAGGAGTGAAAAATTAGCCAATAAGACAGTGACGACGTTAATGTATAGTGCATCCAAGTGCGATGCAAGGACCCTGAAGGCATGAAGCCACAGTCCTTTTTTTATTAACAACTGATTTACCTGTGTATTTTTTGATAGTTATTGAAATGAAGTGATATTAAGGGTTGCCCATGTGAAAATAAGTGAAATTATCAGGTAAAATAGAATGTTAAGGGAAAAAATCAGGGTTTCAAGAAAATGTGATATTAACAGGAAAACGACATCAGCCTATGTGATATTAAGTGGTCCTCACAAAAAATATACCCCTTTCCTTTGAACTCCTTTGGGAACCTAAATACTAATACAATCCTAAGTAATCACTGAAATTTGCTTCTTGTTTTAATGTTACTATCAGGGATTGAATATTTAGGTTCTTTTCTAGTCATAGTGCCCAATTACAACAATTCATTGCTTTTACTTTTTTTTCATATCTTTTTGTACTGGCCTTTTTTTATGTCATTTTTAACAGCAAAGCAAGAAATACATTATATGTATTTATACCATTCATGGAACAAAAAAAAAAAAAAAAGAACAGAAAAAGTGTAAGAAGGTGGAAAAAGACTAGCTTTGATATGTAGTTGTGCCATTTAAACAAATTGAATCGCTAAGTTTCTGCCAGCTGATATCAGCTGTGGTTATGTATATGTCAAAGTAAAGCATTATTACTTTTTTTTAATCTCTAGGTATGATGCTAAGTAAGAAATGATTTGATTTGCCATATCTTTTTGAACTGTGGTACATAAAGGTCTGCATTTCCATTTCTTCTTTTACCACTATGCAAAAAGATGAAAAAAATTCATATGTTTATGTTAGGCTCTTGTCAGCCATCATAAGATTGTTTCGTATCTAGAATGAAAAAATATGGCATTACAGAACAGCAGTTGTGATGAGCCTTGACAAAAGACAGGTTTTATCTGTTTCTTAAAATGGTGGACAGCTCTGATGAGCCTTAAACAACAGACAGGTTTTATCTGTATAATAAAATGGAGGACAGCTCTGATGAGCCTTACACAAAAGACAGGTTTTATCTGTATAATAAAATGGAGGACAGTTTTGATGAACCTTGAAAACAGACAGGTTTTATCTGTATAATAAAATGGAGGACAGTTGTGATGAACCTTGAAAACAGACAGGTTTTATCTGTATAATAAAATGGAGGACAGTTGTGATGAACCTTGAAAACAGACAGGTTTTATCTGTATAATAAAATGGTGGACAGCTGTGATGAACTTTGAACAACAGACAGGTTTTATCTGTATAATAAAATGGAGGACAGTTGTGATGAACCTTGAAAACAGACAGGTTTTATCTGTATAATAAAATGGTGGACAGCTGTGATGAACTTTGAACAAAAGACAGGTTTTATCTGTATAATAAAATGGAGGACAGCTGTGATGAACTTTGAAAACAGACAGGTTTTATCTGTATAATAAAATGGAGGACAGTTGTGATGAACCTTGAAAACAGACAGGTTTTATCTGTATAATAAAATGGAGGACAGCTGTGATGAACCTTGAAAACAGACAGGTTTTATCTGTATAATAAAATGGAGGACAGTTGTGATGAACCTTGGAAACAGACAGGTTTTATCTGTATAATAAAATGGAGGACAGTTGTGATGAACCTAAAACAACAGACAGGTTTTATCTGTATAATAAAATGGAGGACAGTTGTGATGAACCTTGAAAACAGACAGGTTTTATCTGTATAATAAAATGGAGGACAGTTGTGATGAACCTAAAACAACAGACAGGTTTTATCTGTATAATAAAATGGAGGACAGTTGTGATGAACCTTGGAAACAGACAGGTTTTATCTGTATAATAAAATGGAGGACAGTTGTGATGAACCTTGAAAACAGACAGGTTTTATCTGTATAATAAAATGGAGGACAGTTGTGATGAACCTTGGAAACAGACAGGTTTTATCTGTATAATAAAATGGAGGACAGTTGTGATGAACTTTAGACAAAAGACAGGTTTTATCTGTATAATAAAATGGAGGACATCTGTGATGAACCTGACATTTTAAGTCTTAGTCTGACAGAAAAAAAAAATTCCTTCAAACTTATCAGCCTTGAGAACTGTTAATGATTGTTAATAGTAATTTGTACAAGGTGTACTTTCTGTATACATATGTACTTATTAGCCCTTGTATTGACCTGTAACCCATTATTGTAGAACTCTCATACAACTAAAACAGTAGTTAAAAAAACATTCGTCTTGGTTCCAATACTTTTTGTTATGGGTTTTGAATGTCAATATAATGACCAGGAAGCTATATTAATGAAACTTAATTTTGAAAATTTGAAGTGAAAATCATAAAATGTATGAAGGAAGACATTTATTAAGTATTTACTTCCTTTAAGCTGACAGGTCTGGCACATGGATGTTGTAGAGCTCTGTAAATGGTGATTGCTTTTCATAATCAATAACTAGGTTGACCTTGGCAAAGACAATGTCTCTTTTTGACACTTGTACTTTTACAATGACAAAAGCAGCTCTTATCGTCATGTATTTTCTGTTATCTTGGCGATTTAGTTGTCATAGGATGTTGACAAGTACTTTATTTTACCTGTTTATGTCACATCGTTTTGTAAACGTGTCTGGAGAAGTGTGTCAGATATTTCTGAGTTGGCACCGGTGTGTCTGACTCATTTGGGCAGTCTAATGACGTGTGCAACCCAATTTGATGTCAAGTTGTCCTGATGTTTGCTTTCCGTAATTTTGGTTCTGACACCTAAAATGCTTGATGTCATTACAGTACCTTATAGAAGGTCAACTGGTCCTAATGCTCGTTTCCAATTTGCTCTGGTAGTGACACCTGTATGTCTAAAACATTATACAATATATCTAGTAACATGTGCCATTAATTCAATCAAAGGTTTATCTTCACAGGAATGATATCGGGGATTTCACCCATATTTTTGATGAATACAACAAAAATTACATCAAAGTTTTTATATCTTCCATCTTGTAAAACCTTTAAATTTTTTAATAATCTTGATAAGTTTCAGTTGTTGAGTGAAGCACCACCAAACTTTCAAGGATTTTTTTTTTCCAGAGAGTTCTGATTGCTCTTAGTTCGTTAAACTGTTAAAACTGTCCTCTTTAACGAAAAAAAACCCCAAAAAAGTTTGTTAAACTGTTAAAACTGTCCTCTTTAACGAAAAAAACCCCCCAAAAAGTTCATATATTACAAATCTGTTTGTGTGATAAATGTTGGATGTTTTTTATGATGTAGGAAACATTAACAGGCAAAGTGTGACATATATGGCTCCGACTGTGACAATTCATTAACATTAGGTTGCAGTGTGCACTTTGAGGTGCAACCTGTACTTTAAGGAAGATAACAATGACTTTTGTCCTTTTCCAATAACCATTCTTGTTGGCAGTTTCTGTGGATAAAGCATTAATCCCTATATACCCCCTGTCAAGCTAATCCTTAAATCTACTGCATATATCATATAGCACCTACTGTTGAACATACGTTTATATCCGCTGCACGGAAAGATGTTTCATATTGCAGATCGATTGAACAAAATTTGAATTGCATTATTTTAAAATCAAACTTGTTGGAGAGAATGAGTTTGGCTGTGTGAGAGTTGTGATAGATGGGCCTTTGAATAATTGATGGAAGAGGAAGGCTGCGCCTCAGATCAAATTAGGAGAAACATGCATGTCTCACACGGCTTGTGTGTCAAAGGTTTGCATGTCTTGGAGGGTATTATGTCAACAGGATGCTTGTATTGCCTTTTAAAGCTTCTCTGTCAACATCAGGATAGATTTTGAGCTATAGCATTAGACACGTTTGCATTTTTCCATCAT